GTTAGTGTGTCTAAGTGTTCAAATCAGTATAATTGCAGTGGGTAATTCAGGATGTTGGAAATCTGAAGAGTGCAACACTGTAGCTTACATCATAATGATACTCTTTATTGCGATTAATCTCGGAATTTTGAGAATTCATCAGAAGTCATCGGAATGTGACTAATTCCTATTAATTTACCAACTCCGTCATTAATCTGTCATTGAAATTCTCACAGTTCCATTATACAACGCATAATAATGAACGTCATTATCCTGACAAGTCTTCTGTGTTAAAGACAAATAAAAGCTGGAAAACAAGAATACAAAACATGAATGATTCATATCCAAGTTTTCGGTAAACAAGTGTAAATGATTTTTGTGACACGTACTTATGAACATTATGGATGTATGTACATACGTTCATCCGAAGTAGCAATACTATACTAAGTGACATATAAATCCGAACACCCAGTTTAAATGGTTTTATTTTAATAAAAGTTGGTGAATGTATTTATCTTACTGTAAATAACAAGTGAAAAAATTTTCAGCCTTATCAGTTGGACATTCCGGTTTTTATACTGCTTTTTTTTAATTCACTAACGCTCTAAAAATGAATATTTCAGCCGCAGTAAAGAATCAACGTTGGCGGATTTTGGTTCTTGACATCCTTTACGATCGGTTACGATGCCTAGAGTACGGAGACCTGTACGATTTTGTCAACTTAGTGAGTTTGATAGGGGCCGTATAGTGGGACTTCGGGAAGCTGGACTTTCTTTTCGGGCAATTGCAGTTAGAGTGCAAAGAAGCGTAGACACTGTGGTTATTTGTTGTCAGGCATGGCTTCGAGAAGGCCGTACGCAAAGAGCAAGGGGCACTGGACGCCGCCGTAGAGCAACAGACCGTGAAGATCGCCGCCTAAGATTATTGGCCTTCAGGGACCGTTTCTCCACTACCAGGTCCATTGCAAATGAATGGTTTGCAGAACGCGGAAGACTATTGGCATGCGAAGTGTTTACTGACGAATGAGAAGTTTTGGCTTGTTTTCATACCGGCCACACTGAGTCCTCCCTTTAACTCGAGAACACCGACGTAATCGCCTTAAGTGGTGCAGACAACGGTCACTCTGGGATCAGGAATGGAACAGTATTGTCTTTAGTGACGAGTCTCGATTTTGTTTAGGCATGCACGATGGTCGTGCCAGGGTTAGAAGGCGACGTGGTGAAAGGAGGAATCCACAGTTTTTTGTTGAAAGACATGTTCATCACACTGTTGCAGTTCTGGTTTGGGGGTGCTATAGCTTATGGTTCCAGGTCACCTTTAATCTTCATCAGAGGTGACATGAATGCGCAGCGTTATATACACGAAGTTCTAGAACCCCATCTTTTACCCTATCTTGACACCCTGGCAGATCCAACTTTCCAACAAGATAATGCCCGACCACATGTTGCAAGAGTCACAGTAGACTTCTTTCAACATAATGATGTCACATTGTTACCATGTCCACCAAGATCTCCCGACTTATCCCCAATTGAGCACGTGTGGGATATGATGGGTAGGAGATTGCTCAATTTGCAACGTCCTCCTCAGACTCTAGAAGCGCTTCGAGGGGAGTTGGTGGTTGCCTGGAATGAGATACCACAGGAGGACATTGACCACCTCATCAGAAGCATGCCTAGGCGCGTTGGAGAATGCGTAGCACATCAGGGTGCATCCACACATTATTAAAGGTCTAAGGGCTTTAAAGCAGTGCAATCATTTCGAAATGTTTATCATTTACTTATTATGCTTCATTAAGTACTTATACAAAATTTTATTGAAATAAAACCATTTAAACTGGGTGTTCGGATTTATATGTCACTTAGTATATTTCAATGCTTAGATATTTTGAATAAGTAGGTACTAATTATTTTGAATAATTGTGAATACTGTTTGGGCAAAGATAACATTAAAGTGAGAATAATACCACAGTACAAAGTCTATTTTTAAAGGAGAATTCAAATTTGACCAGACTTTTTTATGTTAAGCAAAAACCATTCGAATCATTTTAAGATATTTGTGACATGGAGGTACATATTTTCAAATAAGGAAAAATAGATAATGGTATTACGGGTTTTCACTTAAATTAGATTCTCAAATATGTAATGTAATGAATATTTTCTAGGACATACTTTGAATATGAATCTTTAATTTGAGCACGTCTTACATAAACCCTGCTGCTACATTTGTAGGTATTATCCAAAATTTCAAATACTTAATTTTACTCAAATTATCCTAAGATAGCAGTACAGGTATAGGGTAACCGAGACGAACTGGATCAATGGGTGAATCGAATAAATAAGAAACTCGAAATATTTTGCGATTCGTACATTTGATTTGCCACAGATACTGATGCGCAATCACTTTGACTGAATCATTCCCATGACAGCGAAGGATATTTTTTGCCACGGTCATTCTTCTATTGTAACAATACTGTGTATCTATATGCATTTCACAGACACCTCAGACCGGATCCGCACCCACACTTCTTTGCGATATTCGATCATACATATTTTTGTGGAATATAAAAGGTAGAATTGACTAATACTATAGAGGATGATGCAGGACTATTGTACAATACTCAACAATATGTTGTACCCTTACACCAGAATTTCTAGAGTTTCGGAAAAAATATATAGATGAGATTCACAATGAATTTACAATATACTACGTTCTTGATGGTAAACGAAAATATCCTTCATTGAGAGATACAAAAGTTTTTTTCAGCTATCTTTTTATTAAATGTCAAAATTGAAAACATTTTTTTTTCGTGTGGATTCCAAATACTATCAAATATTGGTAAAAGTGGTTCAGATAAGAATTTTAAATGATAAAGAGACCTCTAAAATGAGGTCTTACATATTCAATTTGATACAGCGGTCAATTCTGCTATTATAAAAAATCGCCAATTTCAAAATATTGTTACCGAAAAGTGCATAATGAGAAATAATTACTAACATTTGTGAGGTTGCTGCTTGTATCTGGCTGGAGATTTTCATTTAGTTTTGAAAATAGTATTCCGTCGTGTAATCTGTCTGTTCAATTTTTTCTAAAATAGTGTTTTTTTTTTGAATAGTTATTATGATCCATGCAAATATTCTGGTTTAATATAAACAGAATGCGACGTTTCTGAATATTTTGCAAACTACTTGACAATCACATTATTTATCGGAATTGCAGAAACTCAAGTTGCTTACAGGAAGAAATCAAAAATTACAATCATATCAAACATGCAAACATGTTCAACGTTCAAGTATGTCGCAACTCATGACCATTGTTCTGTTTCGAAGAAAAATTTTAACTTTTAAGCCTTGAAGCATTCGATCAATTGATATTCTATCAAGTTATCTACCTATTATAAGATAAACCGTGTCGTTATCGATAACATGTACACTCCATGGATTACTATTAACATTCTTTTTATTTTTATAAATTACGTCTTAAAATGCGATAACATTTGAGCAGTCTTTCAGTTCACGAATAATAATTGTGCAATAAATATCTTGACTAGACAAGTATAAAACATTTATATTAAGTTAAACCGATCCACATGGCTCACACATGCACTACCATTCGATTTTGTAGTACATATTTCAGTACAATTTATTGTCTTATATGCTCGATAACTTGTGAAATGGTGATTCGATTTCCAATGTTATATTAAGCACATTTAATAGCTGAAATTAAGAAAGTATTTAAAAAAAATCAATTCCATTGTATTTACAAAAAACAAAAAGTTCAAACGGTTCCATAGCTACTTCAGTCAAATTTATGACCATTTGATCGAGACGGCTCAAACAACAAAATATTGATTTTTTGAGTTGCGTACTTCTCAAATAACATTTGTATATCAATAATTCTCAATAAGACATTTTTATTGTGGTGCAAATCAAGTAAATGGTGTCTAGCAGTTTGACTCCTATGCAACGCCGTCATCAGTAGACCGTTATATCAGGTGCTACTACGCCCAGATAGTAGAAGGAGAGAGGAGACGAAAATTCCTCTATCTTTCTAAGTTTTAAAGACAAATGTACAGATAAACCTATGATATGTGAAATATGGCTAATAGGTGAGTAGAATTACGGAGTTGGGAGCGTATACATTTGCTTACATCAAAAAATACAACTTTCCCCCCGAATATTTTACCCACAATTTTTTTCAAAAATCATACTGATACGGATGTAGTAATGAACTTGTGTAAAAATTTCATCTACATTCGAGCCGTACTTTCCTTATTATAGACTGGCGGAGGATTACCGGACAGAGAGACAGTCAGACCGACGGAAATAAGTGAAAGGCAAAAACATATTTTCGAAAGTTTTCGCAATTACAATACATCCTCGCTCAATGACGTAGGGAGTAAAATACTACAATACAGTCTAGAGCTTGTACGTATGGGAAATATTGTACGTAGATGAATCCGCGAAGTACTTAATCAAGCTAAATGACACCGTCTTTTAGTTGATGCATTTATCGCACTGATATGTATTGGCTTGAGCTGAACACGATACTCATTCATAAAGTCGTCCCAGCTCGTACAATGTCTTTAATATCACTTGGTCTGCAGTCTGAGTTCATTCATTTCTTTTTTATACATAACATTGCGATATGGTAGCAACTATTGCAAATACGACAAGAAAGCTGATGGGTCAGCATTTTTGCTGAACAGGATGAATGTTTCAGCTCTGCAAAGATATAGTTGATTACAGCGACTTTTTACGTCCTAGTATCTTCGTGTCAGTTCAGATTACTTGATGTGAATGCACCATTGACAGAATGGCTGCTTCATTTATCTGCGAAAGTGCAAGACTATCCTTCCGCTAGGAATATGATATCGACTATTGCGAAAGCGAATTCCTGGGCTATTAATTTTAACAACTTCATAGAGATAGGCAAATATCGTAATAGAGATTCATGGCATTAAAACCGCCAAACTTTTCTAGTTCTTTTCTATTTTTAAGGCACATGTCGAAACGGTAGTAAAATTATTCATTCTGTTCATATGGCTTCAGGTATTGGTCAAAGATTAAAACCTGGCATATGCATTGGAAACCACAATTTTCTAGATAACTGAAAATAATAGTAAACCAACGTGGACATAGTTATAAAGAAGTAGGCGTATATCATGAAATTTTTATTTATTGTCTGGTGTATGCTGAACTAAATTAATAATAGATTTCCCTAACCTGCCAGACAAAGGAGTAGATTATTTCTTTATCCACTCCGCTTATCGATCTTCTTCAGTATAATGTGGCACAATATGCAGTTTTGAGTGGGTATATGGAATATCTTTCTAAAAACAAGGAACAAACGAATATGAGAGAACCATCAATTTTCTAGATCTATATCTATAAAACGCTTACAAAAAATTATTGTTATAGACTAATAGATAATTTATGATCGTGTTTATTCGTCTGTTCAGAAAGAAGGTTGTTTACAAAATTGTATAAAAAATGTTCACTATGTTATATATACTTAAGTCGTTTTTTAAAGAAAAACTAATAAATCCATTTCTTTTTAATGAGATTCCTCTATAATTGTCGCTATATTTAACGTTTGACAACAGAGTTTCAAATTTAAAAAGATCATCTTTCACTCCTGCCAATAAAACAGTTTGTACATTCGCCTATTAGAGTAATTAGATTAGTTATGTCTAATATTTTTTATATTAGCCTCATTGATGTTTATTTATTTTATTTATGTTCGTGGTTATATTTTTGTATGGGTTAATTGCAGGGATAGCGTCAGGTAAAGTTCGTCCAGCTAAACACGTTTATGATTCAAATATTGCTTGTAATTTGGGAGACCCTTTATAAAGGTTCTAAGAGGATTGGGCAAAGCTCAAAGATAATTTTGTTTAGGAAAGCTTGTTGCATTCTTCCATGTAATGGTCGGAACGGCGTAATTATTTTTACTTTTGGTTGTACATACAAACGAGGGTCCAAGGTTACGAGATTCTACTCTGCATGTACGCTTTTTATGGCTGAGTAACAACTTGCAAAGCATACAATTGGTTGCATAGTTATTAAAGGTAATCTGAAATCGCGACCAAGACGATAATACTTTTTCTGCTATTGATAAGTGGGAATATTGAATAATGTTTTAACGATGTTTTCATTTGTTGACTCTAACCGCGACGAAAGACCGATACGTGCTGTTACTCCATGCACGCAAATCGGTTTTACGTTTATTACACGCATTCGAAACGGTGTTAAGCACGTGTTATTATTGTCGAATAGTCGCTATAGAATGCTCTTAAATATTCATGTTATGCAGTACAGGTGTTAAAACTCCTTAGAGCTCTCTTCCATGATGCCGCCGCGCGATGTGCCTGCCAGACAGACCCGCCTGACTTTGGCGTCCCATCCTAACCGGGTCGAACTTCGTACATCCAGAACTGGCCGATACGACCGCTCCTTTGTCCCGAGGGTGACGAGATTGTGGAACAATCTACAAGAGGAAGCTGTTCCCAGTTCTACTAACCTTAGGCAGTTCAAAAATCGTATTAACAAAATGTCTTTGGCATCATCATAGCAGCCGCGGTGTACCGGCATTTAGGCTTCTGCCTGCGCGGCTGCTTCGATATATATAAAAAAAGGGAGTAACTTTCTTCAATTTCGTTTTTACTATTTTGCTATTTTACCGGACATCACCTTTATTATTTCAAACATATTTGTTTCAAGAAAATGGCGTCAAGTTAGTTGATTTTGCACTTCCTACCAACGCCGTCATCAGTTCATAAATCCTATGAGAAAATAGTTAAGTTACGAACATGTAAACAAAGAAATTACACGGATCAAGTTCATAAAGGATTATGTTCAGCAAACTAGACCCCTCTGAGAAAGGAGTCAGTCAAACAGGCCCATACAATTAGTTCATAGACATTCCTTCCTTACCCTACCGGTAATTATACTGCCCATCTGGCAACCTGGTTTCTTTACACATATTCGTGGCAGCGCCCAACGCGGCACCGCTGCAGCGAGTTATCGTTCATGCCATGCATACGTCTTGTGCGCTACAGTACGGATAAATTAGTCAGCCTGAACGGTTCGCCGGGCGGTGAGCTTAGACAGCAGGATTAGACAGATCTAAAAGGTTTTTTTAGCATTCTAAGTTTATACGGAAATTTTTCGTGATGTACATGTCATATAACATACAAAAACAATAATATCTCATTTTCGAAAGTATTAGCCATTACAGTTCTTCCTCACCCAGTGGCGTAGGAAGTAAAAGGAAAGAAAGTGCCAACATTCAGAACGACCTGTATAGGAAAAGTCCATTTCCTAAATAAGGCAGTAGAAAAATTGAAATCGTACTCTACTAATATTTCTACACAGCTGATGAGACGCAAAATTGATGGTCAAAGTGTTAAAATCTGACGACCTTTGGAACTTATTCTTTGGTAGTCTCTCTGATCCACCGCTCTTCGTTCGACCATTTGTAGTCAAAGTTAAACGAATTTCTTTCGTATCGGACTTTGAGCAGGTACGTTGGTAAAGTAAAGTAAAAGAAACCACACCTATCATTTATTGCAATTTTTCCAAAAAGCGACATTTTCATAATCCAGAATTTGAACGTTGCGCACAGTATAGTAAGTTTATTTCAATAATTGCCAGAGAACTATAAATAATTATGTAAATATTATGGAGTACGTCGTTTTTTTTTCGAATATATGCAGGTATTCGTATATACACTATCAATTCTTTAGTTTATTCAAGCTATTTGTAGCCACTGTTGTATGTATTGGGGTATTAGCGCTTCTCTTTTTGTTTGACCAACAAAATGTAAGGACGTTGCAATTATCATTATAAATGATGTTTGTACAATTTAAACAATAGAAGGTTTTTATTGTTAAGCCATAATCAAAGATTTGCGGTTCAAATCATGCCGGAAAGAAGTTTTACGGAAGAAAAAAGCGTATTAAACTGTGATATTAGGTAGTGTCCTCTAACAAATAATGTTTTCCACGTACACCAGTACAACTCCGTAGTTCCAGCGACATTTTAGAGGTTTTTGGCCAACACACAGTATTATAAGATAGCCTATCACTAAAAATAAACCTAACTTTCATATGAAATAAGGGCGCTCTTCCAAACATTCCGACATACGTGAATCAACCTTAAAGCTCATATTGGAAATGGAGTTGAGCCAGAGCTGACGTTACCTTTGTAAATTATAATAGTACTGCGTTTACACTTAATGCTCGAATCACAACTGTTTGACAATTTAACACCTCAGTAAATATATGTGTATAACCTGCCTGACGTGCGAGCTAGATACTTAAGTTTACTTGTTTAGCTTATTCATATACCTATATCTGCTAGCGCTAGCTTCTTGCTCTTCTAAAATAAAGAACAACTTTGCAGTGCATATTTATTGATATCATTCCGAATTTCAGTATCATCCTACTGCCATTATGTTCCCATTTTATCTACAACATATTAGAAAAACCCCAAAAACCGCGAAAATACTAGATTAAGGTTACTCTACCATGCATCATGCAAACGTCACGTCGTTTATTTTTCAAAATAGTTGAAACTTTATGGCCGGTCTCAGACAGATTGAAACATTTTGTTTCGAAATGTCGTGAAACATTTCAACCAATGCTTTTAAACGGGGCACCGTACAATATGTATGTTAGAAAGAGTGCGCCGATGGCATCCGCGATCTCCTACTCAGGTTGCTAAGTAACGAGGTGATTCTATCTTTTTCTAACACGTATTGCACGCTTCTCTCACGTACACATTACGATGCCAGTGGTATTTGGTTTTCAGTGTATATAGAAACGAATCACTTTGTGTAAATTAACGCTAAAAAGGAATCTAAGAAGACGGATAGCTAGATAGTTGATACCGGACAACAAGCATTACCTCTACATTAGCGCACTGATACCGTTTTTGTCTCGGTTATTAAGGGCTTGGATTGCCCAGTTTAAAGGACGTTTGTTTATAATTTTCAGGCGCAATGTCGTTGCCTGAGCTACTGTTTTGACCATCTGACCTCATGTATGGAAAATTTTGAACTTTCTTGAAACATATTAAAACCTTTTTTTGAATAATTTTTATTGTATGCTGATATTTAATAGACACACCTGTACGCTTATTTTTTCAGATATCATTTTCCATAGGCTGGATAGGATCTGTTTGCTTTCCGTCGTTTCGACCAAAACCACATGTATACAGTACTCCCCTGAGTGACAACAATACTAAATGTCGCCTATGTCTTTGGCTTCAAAGAAGCCAACACTGTCATTCAGAGATGCTGGGAACCGGTAGTTTCCTGCTGCCTTGAAGAAACCATTAACAGGTGGCGTTTTACCTTTTTCACATATAACAATATTTAGCTTTTAAATAAACCCATTTTTTCGCATTTGCTTTGGGTCGCCTGTCTAAAAATCACAAGGCCTATACCGTACTGAAGGTTGCTAAAAAGCATGGAATAACGTTGTAGTACGGTTGGTTAATATCACAGAGACGATAGGGTAACAGATCCTATTCAGCCAGTGATTGGCTTCTTAGAAGTAAATTATACTCTCTCTCACAGATGCCGCGATTGGAAAACTACTCATAGGTGGCGTGTCACCTTTTTCGCATATCACTTTCCATGTGAGGATTCAAATAACCAATGGACACTCTCTACGCGTATATCTCATAGCGGGCGTTTTTGCTACTTTGCCGCTCTAGAACGTCAAAGCTGTCAATTTCATCGATACTCGGATAACGTCAGTCAGAAAAAATAATCTTGAAAGATCATATAAATCATGACCATCATCATTAAATGCAAAGGGAATGTTTTGAAATTCATAGTGAAGTCGTTAAAATACGAGATCTCGCTCACTTACTTGAAATTGCACTTCTTGCATTTGAAGAGCGTCTGCTTGTTCGCCGCTCCACCCCCAGCTCTCTTTTTCTCGGTGATGTTCGCGAGGAAGGCGGTACTGTCAGCGGTCACAGGCACCATGGTGGGTGGCCCTAACCTAGTCATGTCAACCATTCGCCCGCCGCTGGTGGAGGGGGAACGGTCGTGCTGTTGGTGGTGTTTTGGCCTTGTGCCGCAGCCACCTACAAAAAGGGTATTTGTCAAAAATACCATATATGATAGATTATTTAGTTCTTTTCATAAAATCTAGGAAAATTATTTTCGTAGACCGCCATCTAGGAGCTAAAAAATAACTGGCCACAGAGTTTCAACTGCGTAGCTCTTTTGAATTGGCCCAAGATGACGCAGAATCAGTGAAGAAAAACAGAAGTTACCTTTTTTGAAATTATATTTAACCCAGTCTGCTTAGATAAATCAAAGTAGGAAAAAATCTTGTTAACAAAGATACTCATAAGTTATAAATAGATATTTACCTATTATAAATATTCGACAGGAAAATGGCATTTCCATTTTTGGGGTTTAAGTTTCGCCTTCTACGGCACTTTTTCATTTAACGATTCTAGGTTGAATAAAACAATAGGAAGGTTCGCCATTTTGTGATTTTTACTCAAATCGAGGAGTTCTGTTATTAAAAAACGATAAAAAAAATGAGCAAAAATATTGATATTTACGTCGACTAAAATCATTTCAAAATCAAGGATCGGCGCGAGGCTGGAAAACGTACCTGTGCGCGAGACTAGACCGCGTGACGTCAGTAGCCAGACACACCTCGCTAGCTGGTCCGCTGCATTTACCATTCTCACAACAACGCCTCGGTTTTGAGTAGTGAGAGCTGGTACGACAGATTATTGTTAAATTCTGTGAACTTTGACGGTATTAAATGTCAAACAGAAAGTGGTGTTTTGTGCCAAAATGTACAAGTACGTCAAGTATGACACCATAAAAAAAATTGTGAGTGTTCCAAAAGCTGCAGCACCACGTAAAAAGTGGTTTGACGCAGCTCGACGGGATGTAAAATTAGTCGACGTCGACCATGTACTGCTGCGAAGGTCATTTTGACCTGGAAAAAGATACGGAAAACTATCTACAATACAAGATGAGTACCGTTCGAGCCCGGATGAATCCTAATATTGCACCTCATAAATTTGCATGTCAACTGGGTAGACAATATTAAGCTCTACGAAATGAATGTTCAGCGAAAAAACGGCAAGGCAGAAAGACATCGCCAAATATTTGCAGCCAGCGGCGGTACGCCTTCAACCGAAAAGTCCGAGCCTGAAGCCGTGGAAGTTGTTGAGGAGGAGCATGATGAACTGCCTGAAACTTTAACAGTAGAAGTTCAGTTACAGGTATGTGACATGACATGCCAAACCAAACAGGTACATTTTAGAAGCAAGTCAGTTCAAATCTCGAAAAAACGGAAAGTAATGCATGTTGCCAATAAGAATGCTAAAAGGATTTCAGAGCGGCCAAAAAAAACGTTTGCAAGTGGAAAGTGAACAGGCAAATCTTGAAAGTCCCGCAATAACAGAAACATCCGAATCTGATTCGTATGAAGCCAGTGGAAGAAAAAGCAGAGATAAATAGCCATCAAAATTATTGTCAAGAGAAGGCATTATTATGTCTTTATATTATTAGCTTTCAATAGACTAAAGCAAAGTAGGATCAATTTTTGCGGAGAAATACAAAAACAAGCTTCATATAGGTACTTACCGAACTACTTTAATACCGCTGCTCTGAGGTTCATTTAAATTTGCATTATTTGCCAAAAACTCGTACACCATTTCCACATTCACATGGCGTAAATTTCTGATAACCTTGGAGCATTGTGGTAGCACAAGTAAATAAAGTACACAAACTTCGGTCCCAGTTTATATAAATTCGTATTCGTATACTATTGACTCCGTATACAAGACAATACAAGATACAAGTACTCTATGAGGGCGACAGCACGTGTCTGGCTACTGACGTCACGCGGTATAGTGTTGCGTACAGGTATATTTTCTAGCCTCGCGTCGATCCTTGATTTGAAAATGCTTTCCGTCGACGTAAATATTAATATTTTGCACTCAAATTTCTTTGACCCTTTTTTAATAACAAAATCCCTCGATATTAATTAAAATAAGAGAAATACGAAAAATGTCGAACATTCCTATTATCATAAAGTAGTGGTAATTACCGCTTGTGTCCATACTCTGCTCGCTACTGATAGGGATCTCTGTCAGGTACTTGTTGTATTTGGTATAGTTTCTTCGGCCTGTTTCATCCGTCATCAGCACTTTAGCTGATTCGTGAGCAGGATCTCGGACTGATTTCAGTTTAATGTGTTTCGTGATGTCCCATCGCCAATTCGATCGGTACGCGCACAAGGAGCATTCGAATGGCTTCTTGTTTAGATGACCTACTATGTGCACGTGAAACCTGAAAAAAAACAAACATTTTAGTACATTTGATTGATGCTGCACTTGCCCGAAAATTTTATATTAATTCGAAAATCGATACTCTCCTTCCGGTGTCTTCTGAAAACGATCTCAGAACCGTTATGAACTACTGATAGGCACTCACAATGTGGCTCTGAAGTCGCAACATCCTATTGTACAGTGTCAGAACAGTTCTGGGATAGTTCCATATAAAAATTTAATAACTTGAGCGTTCGTAATTGTTTGAAGTAGCTATTTGGAGCATTCGTAAATAGAACAAAGTAGCCATTCTGTAACACTTTTCTTCCCGTGTTCAAAACTTTGGGAAAAAGAGTGCTGTCACTTATAATTTTCATGTTTCACCGTTTATTTACGTTTTTATTTGGTCACCAATATTGCAAAACATACTTTTTTCACGATACATGAGTTAACAACAATTAAATTGTGAAAATGTAATAGGTTGATACAGATATGGTAATATAAGCGACGTAACATAATTATAATATTTATTGCCTTTTATACTTTTATATACTAGTGTATTTTACGGAAGAGCATCGTGTCATATTACTGGCAGGCAGAATAAAAACAAGGGTGGCAGAAAACAAGGTTAGAATAAGTTGGCTGACATCAAGTGCTCTTATAATATTCAGGCGTTCTAAATACAAAATATTCCAGGGTAAAATTTGATCTATCAATCCACATTCCATTACTGAGTACGGTATCACATTACTAAGTGATTTACGAACGCAACCCAGTTTCCTCACATATTTATTGTTTATTAATCAGGACCAGCAGCATTGAAGATTCGGAACTAGAGCGGGGCTTTTTGATAAAATCTTGCGGGAAGATGAGTAAAAATGATGTTGCTATAAACCGATTCAGAAGCCAATGATCTAGTCGGAAAGATAATTATTGGAAAATTTAGATCCTTCGCCTAATAACCATAATATCAAATATCTTGTCATAAACATTGCGTTTTGAATAACTGTTTAACGTTTACTTATTGTTGTTGTAAGATGAAAAATAGAAACATTGGGGTACCATAACTCATTTTTTCAACATTTCATTTCGATATTTTAAACAGATATTTTTTCATATTCTGTATTTCTGCTACATCACAGTGTCAAGTGTGTTTTCAAGCGTAACTCAAGACTGTGGAACGAACGGGAAAAAGGAAAACATTATGTGAAACACTGCATTTGCAAAGTAGTCTCAGCTTATCATATTGTAGCGTTTTTCTGGGTTCTTTTTGGGTGTGGATTAAAACACTGGATTCCACAAAAGAAATGCACTAATTTATTTAACTGGATAAAAGATTTATATTCACCACTATTTATATCTGACTAATTCTTATGTCACCATTGACTGCACTATACTTCTCTTCGCCCGGCTACTCCAAGGTATTCCGTAGTCTGCCTCCATCTCCCGGCCGCCGAGTTATACTCGTATATAGTTCGCATCGTTGAGTCTAGAAGAATCGGGGGCCACATAGCGGCATTCCCGAATTGTCGAGGTTCCTTCGCGTCGATCTAGCTGGTGCGGTCGTGATTCGCGTAGAAGCAGAGATCGGTCATGAAGCTCTAGCGAGTAGGAGACTCGCCCAACAGATGGCGCCGACAGTATGATCCGTCACAATATTATTTTTAAGCCCCTTAATTTTTTCTGGATATAACCAACAGAGAAGTGACTTATCTCATCCCGTTAGACGTTGACTTGACCATCATAACATACCTGGAGGCTGTAGATGCCCAGAAGGTGCAATGCGGACATTTGAAGACCCTCTTGTGCTGCGCCACTGAAATATCATTACCATGCGTTGGGATCTTCTCATTGGTGGGCAGAGGAGAGTGCCTTACCCCGCTGACCGGCTGACTGACCTCCTGCCCGACGAAGCTGCTCTCGCTGTCCATGGGCGACTGGGTCCTGGTAGACAGGTCCAATGAGACGTTGTCGTCAACTTTATCCTCGGTGTACTCGTAGATTGAGTCATCCACTTCGATGTCCATCGGTACCATTATGTCGTTCCATACGAACACTTTGTTCTCCATTGGGTGCGGCTTTATCTCAGGTTCCTGAAAAAAAGCATAATTCACAGTACTGAAAGGTGGGGATGGGGAGATTGACTCAGTTCTTTCTACGCAATAAATATGTTCATTTTTTGAGATGTTATTTCACTAAAATTATTATTATTATAGGTTACGCTATCTGTATATCTGTATACAGGGTGTAAACGTTATGGTAGTCATTATTGAAATGGGTAATAGGGGGGCTCAAAACAAGTCAAAACGTTCATATGACCCATGGTCCCAAAAGTCAATAGATTTTTGTCTAAATGGCATTATAGTTTACAACTTATGTGCTTTATATCGACCACAATCACCACAATCTTACTAATTTTTATAATCTAATCTAAAACGTTTTTAAATTGGGTAATCAACAAAAATAAATGGCATTAAGTTTTTCTAAGTTAAGTCAAAATTTGTAGTCAGTAAGTAAGTTTCAATAAATTGAATATTTAAAACACCACATGACAACAGCGCGTCGGTCATCATCACTCTTATCGAACCGGCAATCGATCGCAAACGGTAACAATGGTTAGTTATTGTTCGCGTACGTCGTCGTGTTTATTTACAATGTTCTGGAATCAAGAGTTCGCCGACATGTTGTTAGTTTACGGTGAAGCTCGTCAGAATTCAAATCTTGCAGCTCAAATTTATCGCGACAGATTTCGCCAACGGATACACCCAGACAGAAGGACATTTGTGCAAGTGTACCCAAAGACTTCGAGATACAGGAAGTGCTCAGCCCACTAATATTCGCACTCGTGAAAGACAGGTTACTGTAGAGCAGGAGGAACAAATTTTAAATATCGTGTAAATCAATGCAGATATCAGCACTCGGGAACTAGGCCGCCGCGTAGGACTATCGTATACCATAGTCCATAGAATCCTACGGGAAAATTTGCTTTATCCCTACCATGTACAACGTGTGCAGGCCTTGTTACCAGAAGACCATCCCCGCAGACTAACATTCTGTCAGTGGTTTTTGTACAAAAACATTGAAAATCCGGATTTTTTTAAAAACATTCTAGCGACGGACGAATGTAGTTTTACGCGAGACGGAATATTAAATTTCCATAATACTCACACGTGGGCCCAAGAAAATCCTCATACCGTTCGTGAAGGTTATTTCCAGCAACGTTTTAAAATAAATATTTGGGCGGGTATACTTGACGATCAGGTAATTGGCCCTCTTGAGTTACCCCCAAAGTTGTCAGGAGAAGGATACTTTAGCTTTCTAGCCAATAACCTACCAGAACTTTTGGAACAGACCTTAGACAACATGCCATTACAACGGAAACAGAATTTGTGGTTTCTTCATGACGGGGCACCATCGCACATTTTTAGAGGCGTCATTCAGTATTTGAATGAACATTATCCAAATCGCTGGATCGGTCGAAATGCTTCTGATCCTCAAAAATGGCCAGCAAGATTTCCTGACCTCAATCCGATAGATTTCTGGTATTGTAAGTGTTCTTTGTTGAAAATGACAAAAAACAATTTTTGAATTGTAGTAATTTTAAGCAACTTTGAATGGTTATTTAAATTTTTAGAATGCATTTTTCGAAAAGTTTTATGTTCTTTGCACCCATTATTGGTTAATTAAATATAGTTTATTCTGTTCAAGAACGTTTTTGAATTCGAGAAAAATGCTCTAATTGGAGTTAGAAGGATATAGAATTTTTTGTAGTGAAGCACCTATGCAAACCTTCGTATATGACCGATACAGGTCGTGGATTTAAATCCTACATGCACCAAAAGATTTCCATCATTCAGTCGGAATACTATTTCTACGTGAAAAGTACAAAATAAATAATACCTATCAATTAATGAAAAATCAGACTCACTTCATTAAGCTGCTCATTATCTTCATCAATTTTCAACTCATGCTCCGAATCATCCTCATCCTTGGGTATCAAATTCTGCGACTTCATTGCCTCAGTGCATATCTGCAGGTGATTATACAAATCTGTACTACTCTTACACCTCTGTCTACAGAACTGACATCTAGAAGAACTAATGTTATGTAATGGCACCACGTTGGGTCTCCTACCAGCCTCTTTCCCACAACTTTTCTGGTGCTTAGCGTGCTCTGTGAGGCACTTGCTCTCGTGGCCACAGTTGCCGCAGGTCAAGTTGCAACTACTGCCTAGTTCCAGTTTTTCTCTAAGGCTATCAAAGAACGAGGCGTTCTTCTGCTTGAACACATCTGTCAGTTTGCCCTTAGACGACTGCATGCCGGCGGGGTATGGGATGAGATCAGGTACTCTGGGAGGCGCGAACGTATTGAAGACGTCTTCGGAGCCGAAAAGCGACGCGAAGTCTTTCAAAACGCTGTTTGTGGACTTAGCGCAGATGTCGTTGATGTCCTTCTGGCTCATGGTGGGTTCACTGGGTTCAGGTATCTCGACGGTTTTAAGTATAGGGTACTCGGGCGGTTCCGTCTGCAATAAATGTAATTCAATTTGTTGGGGATCCGTGGTTATTTGTTAGACAATACATATGTACATATATTAGCGCTAGCATTCCAACCAAACAACAATATCTGCCCTATATTGGATAAACTATGGAAAATACAACATTTGGTTTTCTCTTTTAGCATATATTGTTTTAACATGTTATTTTGCTATATTGATTGTAGAATATTGGCACAAGATTTACCTGTAGTTGCGTTTGTGAACACAATATTACAGTTAAATGTTGCCACAAGAGACAGCATAATCAATAGGTGGCAGAAGTACAATATTGTTAAGACATATATTGGCCAAATATACATATAACATCCAAAAACATCAAATCTCATTTTCTAAAATTTTCGCGATTACAATACTCCAGTACGCATAGGAAGTAAAATACTAGCGCAAGTTCATATTATATCAAAAAGCCCTACTGAGCTCCCATATGGAAATCTGGGAATCGATATTTCCTAAATAACCCTGAACAACACTGTATATTTTAACTGAATTAGCATAGTAACTATTTGGGGCATCTGACAGGGTGCTGACCATGGAACATAATTAATCTATTCAGACCACCAGTAGAAGAGTTGACAAAGTGATTTGAAAATTCACATCCTGGAGTATTACAGGTGGCTAATCATAAATCTGTAATAAGAAATACTACATTTTCAATAACGCGAAATCATCATTCTGGTTTCAGTACCCGAACTATTTGAACTGTACTGAAACAGGTGTGTTTTCGTCAATGTAAAGCAAGAGTACATTTTTTCCAGCTTAGGAATCAGGTATTTCAAAAATGTCATCAATGAGTCATTGTTACACAGGGGGTGAAAAGTAGCAATATATACGAATGTGAAAATGAAAGAAAAACGAAGTGTCAACCTGAACGAATAAAAAATATATCGTCATCAGAATTTTTAAATGTAATTGAAAAAGGACATCGTGATGGCCGAAACGTCGTCAGTAAACAGTATACCACAAAAAACTGGAAATTAATCAATATTTTCAGAACCGCTTCAGATATTTCACTGATATTTAGTACGTAGTGAAAGTTAATAAAGTTGCATATTTTTCAACTAAAAAATAATGTTTAGCTTTAACAGTGGCGTGCGTACGGGTATTAACTTCGATATTTTTTAAGAAAAAAATGGTACGCCAAATGGTTTTTTGCCAAATACAAATTATTTTTGAATTCCCCGTTCAATTCAAAACAAATAATCTGTCTCGAATTGTTTTCCTTCGATGCGCCATGTTTGAGTAAAATAATAAAAACCGTTCTATTGTCTAACTTGCAAAATTATTATTAATTTAATTGGAAAAAGTAAGCACATTAGGGGAAATGAACAACAACAACTGACTACATAAACATAACATTAAAACCGACGAAATGATTACAACAATTGTTGAAAATGGCCCCCTTCACTTAGTATGCATGCTTCCGCCCTCCTTCTCATGGAATTGCGCACTCGATGAAATACCCCTGGAGTGTTTTTTATTCTATAACAAGCTGCAACTATTCTTTCTCTTAATTCATCTACAGTCTTAATGGGACTTGTGTACACTAGTGTCTTAAGATATCCCCACAAAAAGAAATCTAAACTGTTGAGGTCTGGGGACCTTGGTGGCCATTCTTGGGGCTCATCATCAAGCAACAAAGGCAACTGGTGTTGAAGAAAATTGAGGTAAGTCTATCCGTCAAGTCGTCCCGGCAAGAAGAATGGGCGAATAAAGTGGTTGGCAATAATTCCTGCCCAAATGAATCATTGATTCAAATTGCGGATTTTGTGTAATATTTTGAAGTTACCACTGAGAGAAGGTCACACGCCTTGGAAAATCAATGGGAAGTAATGCCTGTACTCTTAAAATATGTAAATATGTTCTTCGACTTCGTGCAGCACTGCTTCCTCAATGTCAGGTGTTCTCACACTTAGAGATCTACCTTCAGATGTTCTTTTTCGGACAGAACCAGTTTCAGCAAGACTACGATGAATATTAGAAAAGGTTCGACTATCTGGCAAAGCACGATCGGGATATCTCTGGTGATAAATCCGTCTGGCTTGCTCACCATTTCCGTCGGCAAGGCTATATACGTAATGCATTTCCGCTATTTCTGCATGTGAATAATTCACCATTATTAACAAGATTGTAAAAACTAAACAATGAAAAAGATGTCACAGCGAACAGATTTGAATAACAGAGACTTGTCAGATGTCAAAAGCCAGTGACAAATTCCAGAGCAACTAGATATTTACTGCTAAATTGCATTCTTCAATTATTACATTAATTTTCTCCGACAATAGAACGGTTTTTATTTTTTCACTCAAAAATGGCGCATCGAATGAAAACAATTCAAGAGAGATCATTTGGTTTAAATTGAACAGGGAATTAAAAAATAATTTTTACTTGGCAAAAAAACATTTGGCGTAACATTTTTTTCTTAAAAAATATCGAAGTCAATACTCGTACGCATGCCACTATTAAAGCTAAAAATTATGTTTGCATTGAAAAATATGCAACTTTATTAACTTTTACTTCGTACTAAATATCTGTGAAATATCTGGAGCTGTTCTGAAAATATGAATTAATTTGCATTTTTTTCCTAAAACTTCAACACCCCGAGTTTTTGTAAGGAAACATCTTTGGACCATAGTTTATAAAGGAAACTAATATTAATCTTTCATGTAGATTCACACCCTTAAATATTCGCATATCATTAAGGAACACCCTGTAGATATCATCATATGAGGCCCCAATTCGTCGACAAGGAATATTTAAGAAAAAACGATTTTCAGTCCTTTAGGTCCGTATCGTCAGTCGTTCCTACAATTGTAGGACGCCTTCATGGCCTCCTTGATTTTCATAGTCTTTCCTCTCCTTCAGAAAGGCCGGGATATTTCTATATTTCTACTGTCCCGTGTCAGCGTCAGCGCTCTCCTATTGTCAGGCTATGTTTTCTCTTTGAATTGTAGGAAATTTCAGGCTATATAACAGATGATATACATCAAAAGTATGAACAGTTTGATGTAAATATATATTTGTAAGTTAACCTCTAAATACAGTGATGGCACGGAAGCATAACAAACTATGAAAATCAAGGAGGCCATAAAGGCATCCTACAATTGTAGGAACGACTGACGATGCGGCCCTAAGGGATCTCTTTCTTCCTATGGGATCCCTTAGATCATTTTTTTCACTACTTATCCAAAAGTCGCCATTACTGACAACAATGCCTTATTGAGAAGTAGCATTTATGCATAACGAATACAAAAAAATAACACTTAGGTTAATAATACTGTAATTCGAAATTGTATCCTGTCAGTTTCATTGTGTCAGTTTGTCAAGCGAAGTTTATTTTTCGGAATATTTTAGAACGATTGAGAACTAGGCAATTTTGAGTATCGAGATAATGTTTGAAAGTCGCTTTTAGTTGAAAAAACATTTTTTATTTTAATCATCTGGAATGGACCAGTCCAAATAACATCAGCTGACTGCTGCATTCATTAATCTGGGTTTATCACTTTGACTCCAGACTACTAGATACTTTAAAGTATTTGTAAAATGAGTTGGATACGTCACGATCGTGGCGGAAAATCGAATATTTTATGATATAGTGTTAGTTGTGAAAATAATATTGTATACCTATACCTCGTTTTAGAAGGCCGTCATTGATCTCGCACAGTATACCTTTTGGCGCCTAAATCACGGTCCAGTTCTCAAACTAGGTATGTAATGTACTATTTCGTATTATCTTTCGTGTTCTATGAACATCGGATAGATTACCATCGTCTAGGGCATTTTAATGTGTTTTGGCCATTTTCGAAACATCGTATTGTGTCTGATACGTAGTACGAATAGAATTTTAGCGAATATCACATATGACGCTTCTTAATCTTAAAAACTGTTCAAAATAACTCCAAGGCTCACCACCTTGAAGGCCACACCTCGTCATCAAAGATTTCCGGACTTTTTAAAATACACCAGGTCACTTATTAGGACAGAAAGGCTCACTAATCCAGAATCCTCGGTATGGTTGCTTGTGAGTCTGTAACATAAAGATATCCGGACATTGATAAGTCGATGAGATCCTAATTTAAGACCTGTTCGATCTAGGACTTAAACCACTGGGTCTATTGCTTATGGTGTTTTTCTGAAAAATTGGATAATGTTGACAATAACTCAGTATGATTGATGCTAGTGTATTTGATACAGTTTGGCAGTCTATGACTCTGATTGAAGCGTAATGCGCATGCGCCCTTGTGTAATTCTCTACGTGAGCTAAAAAATTCTATGATTTGTGACATACTATCCATTCATCCTAATTTTCTGTTTTGTGAATGAATGAAATGTAACTAAGCCTTACCTTCTGATTCTGCTTAACGACAGTAGTCGGTATGGGTATAAGATTAGGAATAGGCCTAGGCGGTTTCTTTATCACCGACTTGTGGTTCTCTCTGTCGATGTTGTGCACCTTTCTCTCATGTTTGGCCATCTCCGAGTCCCAGGCCGACTTGTAGTTGCACAGTCTGCACTTGACCTTGATGTACACCTTGCCATTAGAGTGGTGTAGAATATCGTCCGGGTGGATGAAGTCGGAACCTCCTCCGAAGCTGCTTGGAGAGAACTCGGTGGGACTGACGCTGCCCGATTTGGATTTCTTAACTGGTGGTGAGGGGCGTTGAGGTTTGTGGGGTCGCTTTTCTACTGCAGATGGTTCAGTCTTCACTGTCGCCTGAAACAAAAGAAAACAGAAACTTGAAACGTTTCTGTCAACAATCTTTTTTTATATTAACGCGTGACTCATAGGTACCTTTTAAAGAAAAAATGGTGTCAAGAAGATTGACTATTTGCTTCCTACGGCTTTGTTGAGGCTTTCAAGGAAAAGGGATGAGTCAAGTCCTTTCAAAAGGCCGAATCGAATCGTGATTAGGTGGATTCTACATTTCAAACTATACAGGGTGTAAACGCTATGGTAGTATGAAATGGGTAATAGGGGGGGTCAAAACAAGTCAAAAAGTTCATATGACCCATTGTCCAAAAGTCAATAGATTTTTGTCTAAATGGCTTTATAGTTTAGAACTTTAAGTGCTTTATAACGACCACAATCACCACAACCTTACTAATTTTTATAATCTAATTTAAAATGTTTTTAAAGTAGGTAATTAATAAATAAATGGCATTAAATTTTTCTAAGTTGAGCCAAAATTTGTAGTCAGTAAGTAAGTAAGTTTCATTAAATTAAATATTTAAAACACACATGACAACACCGCGTCGGCCTTTCATCACTCGTATCGAACCGGCAATCGATCGCAAACGGTAACAGTGGTTAGTTATCGGGCATCGGGCGTGTTTTGTTTTTGTTCGCGTACGTCGTCGTGTTTATTTGCAATTTATTTATCGCGACAGATTTCGCCAACGGGTTCACCCAGACAGAAGGACATTTGTGCAAGTGTACCAAAGACTTCGAGATACAGGAAGTGTTCAGCCCACTAATATTCGCACTCGTGAAAGACAGGTTACTGTAGAGCAGGGGGAACAAATTTTAAATATCGTGGAAATCAATGCAGACATCAGCACTCGGGAATTAGGCCGCCGCGTACCATAGTCCATAGAATCCTACGGGAAAATTTGCTTTATCCCTACCATGTACAACGAATGCAGGCCCTGTTACCAGAAGACTATCCTCGCATACTAACATTCTGTCAGTGGCTTTTGCACAAAAACATTGAAAATCCGGAGTTTTTTAAAAATATTCTAGCGACGGACGAATGTAGTTTTACGTGAGACGGGATATTAAATTTCCATAATACTCACACGTGGGTGCAAGAAAATCCTCATACCATTCGTAAAGGTCATTTCCAACAACGTTTTAAAATAAATATTTGGGTACGTATTCTTGCCGATCAGGTAATTGGCCCTTTCAAGTTCCCCCCAAAGTTGTCAGGAGAAGGATACCTTAGCTTTCTAGCCAATAACCTACCAGAACTTTTGGAACAGACCTTGGACAACATGCCATTACAACGGAGACAGAATTTGTGGTTTCTTCATGACGGGGCACCACCACATATCTCCTGACCTCAATCCGATGGATTTCTGGTATTGGGGAGAACTTAAAGGGATCGTTTATGGGGCTGGTCCAAGAACAACTGAAGCACAACTTCGCGAAAAAAAATTTAATGCGGCTGAAATAATAAATGGACAACTTCGAGGACCTAGAGTAAGAAGAAACTGGGTTCGTTGTAATGAAGCTTGTGTTGAAAGTGGAGGACGACATTTTGAACACCTTCTTTAAATACAAAAAAAGTGCAGTGTGGGTTTAAAAACAATGTATGTATCAAAATTGTGTTCCCTATTTATAAGTGGATTTTTTTAATCCGTTCAATAAACTTTCACACACCAGGTGAAGCGCTGAGACAGTTAGTGGCAAGTCCATTTTTTTTAATTGTTTGCATTTTACGAGTACATTATCAAATAACGAAATAATACCTAAGAGCCCAACATAACAAACTCCATCTTTATTTACATTGCGTTCCGTCGTAATTTGCGACTGGCATTGCGGCATTGTCAGATTTTATTTTACTTAAGTCGCTTTTCTCTAAAGAAATGCCGTTTTGACCCCCATGTTATATGAAACCTTTTGCTTCTTTTAACCCCCTCTATCACCCATTTAAATAATGACTATCATAACCTTTACACGCTGCATAAAATCATTTTTTAGTTGCCATGGCAGATGTAGGGAAAACCTGTGAGACTCATTGTGTCTAACAGGTGCAAAATATTACCAGGATCAGCAAATTCTTAATAATATATGTTTTTTCAGTGACACCAAACATACCACACTTTACAATCATTTATCGCATACAGTTTCCAACCTACAATATTCAAACCCTCCAAACAATGTCTGAAAATGAGCAAGAATCTCTGAGGCGTTGTAGCACTATGGTCCAGCGATTTTTATTTGTTTTGTCTGCCGTCACTGAATCAATTTTCAAAATCTGCGACTACCTACGCGATAGAAGTATTAATTTCTCGATAATATTCGAATATGAGTTCGCAAGTCTTCTGTTGCTTAAAGATATCTGTATCACACAAGGTCGTGTTTCTCACTTATCTCGGTTTGTCAGTCCGGGTCCGTTGTATATCAATTCATAATAAGTACTGATTCAGTCTACTTGACAAAATATTCAAAGAACCATTATATACTGGGTAACAAAACTTAAAAGTTAGGCGAATGGGTGGGTACATTGAAGGATCATAAAATTCAGAAAAGTATGTTATATGTGTAGATATAAAAACAATTAAGTCATCATTTACAAAGCTAAAGTGGTACGTACTCTTAATGAAAGAAAAGCTTTGACTGATACCAAAGATATAACTTTTCAACCTCCTACCCAATACAAACCCTAATCACCAATTTTCAACCCTTACAATTTTTTTTTGAAAATGACCAGGAGACTGAAAACGTCAAAAAACGAAGTTTGAGCGATTTTTCTTGTTTCTTTTTTCGTCCCCCTACCACTCCACCGCCACTAAATCGATTTTTAATCACCACAAAGCTTTATCATCCTTGGCATAGAAGTAACCTTGTATGAAAATTTCATCAAAATCCGAGCGATACTTCTCAAGTAGCCTGAGATCATGGCGTAGGAAGTAAAAATACAATTATTAACTTTATGGGGTTTTCTTGAATAACGAAGTAAACAATCAATCTTCATATTTGGTTTTTGGAGATTATTTCTTTGGAATTTTGGCTGTTGCTGCGGTCCATATGGCCTACTTTGTAATTCCAATTTTCAATGACGCGTTCTAATATTTCGAGTGGTACCTGGCGATTATTATCGCACTATGATATCACACTATTTGATGCTTGAAATTCAATCCCATGACATCTAGCCACCTAAACCGTGAGATTTCACAAAACCGATACTTTTTGGGGGATTGGTCTACATAGATTGTATTTGAAAAAACACCTCTAAATGACTACTTATTAATGATATCAGATTCTTCTGGTCAATAATTATGCACTATAGGTACAAACTTGAAAGCTCTGCTGAAACAAAGTCACGCAGAAATCATTGTATCAGAATGACAATAATAGGTAGGTGGTATCTGTCACATATTACCTGTCACTGCTTGTGTCCTTCACCCTAGACCTACGTCGTAATAACGAGTTCTAATGAGTGCGAAACGATATTGTCGGTGTTTGTGAAGACAGGTAACAAAAACAGCTGTTGGTAATAGCATCATGGGATAAGCGTACGGCTGCTAAAAGTTGGAGCGAAAACCTCGTATGTGTGAGAAAAAATTCCGATTCGATTTTCTTCCATAATCACGTCTGGTGGATGCCCCTTAACATAAACCAAGAGGTTATCGAGCGATCACTCGTTGCAAATTTGTTTCAACAATTTTTGTAAACAAGTTACAAAACATTGGTTTTCTCGCTCCGGAAAAATGATTTTTTGGATATTTCCGATATAAGCAACTTGAAGTCTGAAAAACTCAAAAATGTCCATTTTCTATGCTTAAAAACCCGGTTAAAAGTTTACGCGACCATGTGTGAGCGCATGCAGATTTAAGAATAATCGAGACCCATCTGGAAGAATCTGCTGCCATCTAGATCACTTTGATGGAAGTTCGCGAAATTGATGGAATATTTAATAAATATATAATGATAAATACTCGTCCAGATGGTGGGAGCAGTCAGACGCAGTCGAGATACTCAAACAACGTGGAAGTGTTATAAATTCGTGTATGAATTAATAAATTAGACAGTAAAACGATGTTTTCGTTAAAATATGGAATATTCCGTACGCTACAGGCATGCGCGCGTCGCACATAGCGTGGTATTACCAATTTAATGTATTTTAAATAAACTGAGCCCAAAATGGTCTTCAGGGCCTTGTAGGGGAGGTACTTAAAAATAATGATGTTATTCGAGTTTTCAAGCATTTTTCAGAACTTAAATCGCTTATAACTCAGAGACGATTACTTTTTGGTACAGGATGATAGAAAACACCTAAAAGAACCTTGTCTGGAGCGAAATGAACATGTTCTGTGATTTGTTTATAATATGGATCAAACGAATTTGCACTAGGTTACCTTTTGATAATCTCTTGGTTCATGTTAAGGGGCACCCAAGAAACGATTTTATGAAGAAACGAGTAGAAACAATGCTCTTCAAATACGAGACTTTAGTCAATAATCACTATGATCACCAGACAAATGATGAGCGTCAGTTCAGTTTTTATGCTAATCTAATTTAATCATCAGCGAGTCGTTAGATGCTAAATCGTATTTTGTAAAGATGGTGAATGTGCATATACATTGAAAAACTCGGAGCGCGGGCAGTCATGGTAGTTATTTGGAAAACCGAATGCATGCGTTTGGAATTCCGGCTTGGAGTATCATATATACAAGACTTTTTCTGAAATAATAATTAATATTAAAGTCCATGATATAGGATCATCTGAATGTGAATTATAAATTATTTTTTATTTTAAACCTTAGTCGTGACTTCTTACTTTTGCTTCTGCATCATTTGAATATAACATAAGAACTTGATAACTGCTTTGTCTGTTCGTAGACGGTAATCAAGTATCATTGGAAAATATTACTATGCTCCCAGAGTTTACCACAGGTGATTGATGGCGAAAAGAAAAAAATCATCCGGTGGTGAATCACGATCCGTTTTGTTATTCTTTTGACAAAATCTAGTATAATTTTCGTGGGCTATAATACCCTCTGAAAAGAAATACAAAACAACTGTTGGGTTTTACCGACAGTAGTAATACTATAATGATTAGATTTCTGACCAACAATTAATAATACGATTAATTTTTCAACTCTCTGAAGCAAAAATCAAAGACAAAAGAGTGAGGATTAAATCAATTTCAAGTACTGAGAGGTTTCCGAAATACGCCTTATCCTTGCATCAGGCAAATGATTTGTTTATAGTTTATATGATCCAAAACTTAATTAAATATTATTGATATTTTTTATCGTTATATCTTGTTATTGATGGAACAATTGTTTGTACCCATAAACTTAAAATTGGAGATGTCATTTGAGTAAATACAAATTACCAAAATGCGAAAATACATGAAAACAAAAAATAAATCGATATTTCTAAAATAGCTTTTATATGTGAGTTCAGTATGTGTTGTGTATGATCGCGGAGACAAGTTTTTTTGACTCAATAGTCAGGCTGTGGCTTGTAGTTGTTAAGTCCCAGCGTAATCTCGGCAACCACTAGACTAGATGGAAAAAATGCGTTTTTGTTCAGGGATCAGGTTTTGTATAGCCGCGAATGTATAATCTGAACGAGATGTTTTTATATTATTTTCAGAAGCTCAAACCTTGTAATTGGATGTAAGACTACGATTAAATTGGCCACAGTTAAATATTTCGAAATACTGACATAAAACTAAAATCACCGCAATCGGCACCCACTATGTAACCTAAAAAGTGACACTATATCGAATTTTTATGAAATTATGAAGGTTTTTTGACATAATGTAGGTGTTCCTATAAAATGTCGCATTTGCTGACATTCACTTCATGCTCACTTGTAGTAGGCGCGGAATGCACTAGCGACAAACTAGCGGCTACTGGTGCAGAAGTTGACATTTTACCGATTTTTTAAGGTTTTCTACGTAATAACCCTGCCGAACAGTATTTTTAGAGATAACCGCACTGTCTGTAAAAATAAGTTTCATTCAGATCATTATAAAAATCCAGATATTTAGCATACTGTACAAGACCGACAAAGACAGTTAAAATATATCAGAGAAAGACAGAACATTTTAGAATTCGGATAATTCTCGCCAATAAACCGAAGAAACCTGAATGTGTCCGCTCGTAGCATTCTGGTAAGGAAATCAATGTTATCTTCATCGTCATTGCTTTAACATTTGAAATCGAACTTAAACTAAGCTACACATAATTATTTAACATTCAACATGTAAAATAATTGTCGCATGAAACATCGAAGCAAAGCTCACTTTCAAAAATAAAGTAACCATGTAAAACGTTTAGTTAGACAGTAGAATAAGTTACAGACAACTTCAAGAAATAATTATAAAGCGAATGTGCGCAAAAAATACAAGTAGGTGGGTATAAAATTCTGAAATAATTATGAAATTACACCACATAGTAAACAGGTTTTCATGTCATCGTAGGATTGACCTACAGCATTACGTATTTGACAATATTTACACTGGTACTAAATTCCAGGTTAACATATAATTCTAAGTACCTAATTGTTGCCAGCAAAGTATGGACTAAGAACCACCAGTCATATACACAAGTCAATATTCCTTAACCCTCTTGAAAGGAGTTTCAACCATTCCTAAACTTGATCACTATGACTGTTTATTTTCACACTTTCAGTTTACAGGATATTTAGGCAAAACTCGCGAGTACTGATTTTTGAAACATACGGCCTTCGGCTTTTCCTGGATGTAATTTTGACCGAATGTGGCTGAAGCTGAAGGTTCGGTCGTACCTTAATCATTGATAGGGTTGATGTGTCGGTTGCTACGCCCTTGTGTAGGAAGTACCGAGACAATTCCACTTATGCTTGACACTATTTTTTGATAAATCTGAACGTAATACAAAACATAGGATTATAAAATCACAACTTATTTTCTTGCTTAACTGTTTCATTAATTTTGACTAACATTTTAGTTGATCAAACTTTGTGCCTAGATGTAATTGTTTAAATCTTGTAAAGCTTTGCGATAACACTAAAGCCATCGCAACACTTACATCAGTTTACAAAATAATCGCATACATGGAACAGAAATATAATTTTTTGATGTTTTTTCAGCATAAATTATTACCAACTAAGAACATCAATAATCGGCATACCTCTCATATTCGTCACTATTTCCTTAGCTATTCCACACTAGTTTCCGATAGCAAACTGCGAAACTATCCGGCACGTCGCGACACGGACACGACACAACGCGGCAATTTGATAAGCGTTATCGCAGGTAAGGTGCACCTACACTACTGACATATCAAACCGAAGCGCGATATCCGCGGTTTTCCAGCTGCGATGTTGTCATATCGTGTATAGCTGAATAGCTAGTTTTGCAGTGGTGGACTGGAAAAAATAACGTCGAGCAGGTGGACTCTGAAACTAAGAACCAACAAAAATGTCTGAAGCGGATTTTGACTGGTATGACAATTTTGATACTGTTGTCTAGTAAACACTTCTCAACATTTTTTATCGGTATCAAGTGAGGTTTTGACAGCGGTAACGCTTTATACTTACTAGATAGGAAATAGTTCAGGATTCACAAAACGGGACTAATTGAAATTGTTTGCAATAGCTGCGATTTTTGGGAAGCATTTGGTTCCCGTGATCTTACAAAATAAGCAGCTTTCGACGAGTTTGAAAAATACAGTTGAACTACATTCAGAAAGCTAAAAACTTCATTATTTATTGGAGTCGTAAATTTTTTATACTTTATAATATCTTTGATAATTTAATGTGCACAGAAGATATTTTCAATATAATTAGCAATTTAATGTACTCATCATGTTTCTGAACCTCAGCACCAGTCCGTATTTTGTGAAATTAGGAGTTCTTTACATTTGACTGGTTTGGTTATTTATTATTATTTTCTAGATAAGAAAATAGTTATTGTAGCATTACGTTGCTCAACAGACAAGGAAAGGAAGGCCTTTTTTTATCAGATGCAAAGGTACTTTGTCAATGGATATCAATGAATTTCAGGAACTGTTCTTAATATGTATCTCAGAATGGACATACAAGACACAGGGCCACAAAATAAAAAAGATGGTATGTGGCCCGACTATGTTTTCCCATGGACTTTTTCAAGCTGAACACGAATCTAAAGTCAAAATTGGGGTCGGCGGACAAATTTTAGAGAAAACGCGTCAAACGATCCACAGGAAATGCATCAAAACACATATACTTAGAGAAAGGATATTTTCGTCGACTTTGGAGAGAGGCTGTAGTATGCCCTTTACCTAAGATCCCTGCTCCAACTGAGCTTGCTCATTTGAGACCTATTAGTTTACTGTGCACTCCATCCAAACTGTTAGAAAAAATAGTTAATGTACAGCTAAATCAGTATTCAATAGATCAAAACATTCTCCCTAAGCACCAGTCGGGTTTTAGGGGAGGGCATAATACAACCACTGCTCTTTCAAATCTTAATGATGAAATTATACGGTCGCTAGATAAGAGGCTTGCCACTCTACTTATATCCTTGGATTTTTGAAAATACTTTGACACCACTGACCATTCACTTATGTGTAGTCTTCGTAAGCAAAGCGTTATTCTATATAACAAAATACCTGGACTATTCGACTCAAATGCGCCTGCAGAGATTGCAGAATAACTGTTGCCGTTTTGTCTGTAAGTTACGTAAATTTGACCATATATCTAATAGTTGCAGGCGTTCACAATGGCTTAATATCAATTCTCTGTTCAAATATTTTTACCTAACAACAATGAATCGTGTATTATATTCTAAGAATCCTGTATATTTAGTTGAAAAGATGGTCCGTAGATCAAGTATACATAATGTCAATATAAGACATCAAATCAAGACCATTTTGCAATGCCTATGTATGTAACATCACTCTTTTATAGATCTTTCACGTATAATGCAGTGTCTCTCTTCAACATCTATGGCAGGAATATTGATATATCAAATACTAATAACATCCGTTTCAAACTGCATCTCAGACAACATCTTCTAGGAATTCAGCATAGGATCAATGGATAAATGCCCTGTAATCCATTACCATTATGTTCTTTTAGTTAGATTCATAGACATAATATATGTAAAATACCATATTTGTATGTCAAATTAGCATTAAGCTTTAGTCTCTAGAAAGGTTGAGTGTAAGAATAGCTGTGCTAAACTCCTCCAATAAAGCCGTTTATTATATGTTCAATTTTGACCTTAGATTCGTGTTTTATTTTGAGGGCCTGTGATAGTCAATCTCTGCGGGATTTCGGTAAAGCACTGATTTTCTCAAGATGATAAATTCACATTCTCTCCATTATGAGACTTAGAGGCGAAACCTAATTCAAGAAACTTTTATTTTTCCTCGGACAGCCAAGTCAATGTGCATATTGGAGCCAGGAGTTCAGGAGGATGACATGACCTTTCTTGTTTGAGCTATTCAGCAGTGACTGATTTTGTCAACAAAAAGCTACCCTGACTCAACAATTCTTTTAGGTACACTATTCTAAAAGTATTTCTACAAATTCAAAACTTGACAGTCAGCGATAACCACACCTATTTACTACATCATCCATATGGAACGATGACGTACTCGTATGTAAACAAACTAGATTGAAAAAGGTCGCACTTCCTAATCTATCACTTCTGACGAGACTGCACTGACTGGTTTTATGCCTAGTATTATTAGCATCATTTTCGATAAGGTTATCTTGTCGTTCGTTCTGCAGAACGTACAACCAAAATGCTGAAAAATTGGCGATAAACAAGATAAGATAGCTTTGGTATTGAGACATAAGTAGTGGATCGCGCGTATTTCCACAATTTTGTGTCAGGATCAATACCACACATTTTTATTATTATATATATTTATTTATTTGCTAATCGTGTTTTAAAACCCATACTTATGTTTCGAAGTAAAGGCACATAATACAAATACAGCAATTATAAAGTGGATCCATATGCAATTTTATTTTCAGTACGCAAAAATGAGCATTCTCTAATGAAATCTGATAAGATTACAATAAAACGAATCATCATTTTGCTATTTTTCAGGAAATTCTTATAGGGTCATTTTGAAGGCACATTCACCGCATCTGGAAATCATGATAGAATCATTCATACGATACACATTGTGAGGCCCACGATTGATTTATTCATATACATACACAGACATTCGTAGTCATACAATCTGCATAAATTATTTACTAATAGACGCATGCAAATGTATTTTAATTGTTGATGAGCATTAGTCATTGGCGGAACTTCGTGTTGTTGGACAAACGTTCGATCCCTCCGCAGCAGTCGTGAAGTACCAAATAAAATAAACTATCTATCTTGAAAGATTTGTTAAAAACCACCAAAGTAATTAGACAAAATCGTTTCTGCCAAATTACTAATATTATTTATCTTTTGATGTTACTATCTTGTTGCTTTCGCCATTTTTGAGAAAGCTATGAATCCTTAAAACAATCCTTGATCAATTGTCTTTCAAATGCTTCTGTCTTTTCATGATAGTTCTTCAATAGTAATACTGATTTCATTATAAAATATTATGAAAGGCCAAGACTTAATTTTGGAATCTGCTAGATCTAAATTGTTCAATTGTTTAAAAGTTCAAATAGCTAAGAAATATCTACAGCGTTATCGAACAAACTCATATTTTAGCATTTTAGGTAGATAAGATAATGTTTGGCAATACACATGTTTATTTAATTTGTAATACAAGATAAAGACACCTACAATTACTCATAATATGTGAAAGTATATTCACATATCCTTTGCAGATGCATCAATGGTTGTCATATCAAACATCAAATACATTGTTTCCCGAAATCAAATAAAAATCGTGTATAGAAGTATACAAATTTTAGGAAATATGTTTAGAAAAAAACTATTTTCTATATTTTGTATGTTGCTAATACGAATATAAAATATATACATATTTGTAATACATAAATAGTGCATACAAGTTTAGAAATAGAAAAAAAAAAGATAATCTCAAGTACTGACTCCACGCTTCTCATGAAACGCTGTCGTCATTACATTACATAAAAATTAAATACAAACATGTATAACAAAGAAGTGGCTATTTAGCAATATTTTTTCTGTGGGCCCCCGAGAGTGTTGCGATCACAGTCGCGACCACGTTGTGTTGATGATGAATATACCTCGCCAGCGACAAGCTCGTGACAGGTGTATATACGTATACGTTTTTGTGTGCATGACATCGGTATTGAAAATATTTCTGTCATACTAGTCCTAAGGGCAAATATAGCTACGCGGAAATCTATGTGTGAAATATACTAAGTGACATATAAATCCGAACACCCAGTTTAAATGGTTTTATTTTACTAAAAGTTGGTGAATGTATTTATCTTACTGTAAATAGAAAGTGAAAAAATTTTCAGCCTTATCAGTTGGACATTCCGGTTTTTATACTGCTTTTTTTTAATTCACTAACGCTCTAAAAATGAATATTTCAGCCGCAGTAAAGAATCAACGTTGGCGGATTTTGGTTCTTGACATCCTTTACGATCGGTTACGATGCCTAGATTACGGAGACCTGTACGATTTCGTCAACTTAGTGAGTTTGATAGGGGCGGTATAGTGGGAATTCGGGAAGCTGGACTTTCTTTTCGGGCAATTGCAGTTAGAGTGCAAAGAAGTGTAGGCACTGTGGTTAGGTGTTGTCAGGCATGGCTTCGAGAAGGCCGTACGCAAAGAGCAAGGGGCACTGGACGCCGCCGTAGAACAACAGACCGTGAAGATCGCCGCCTAAGATTATTGGCCTTAAGGGACCGTTTCTCCACTACCAAGTCCATTGCAAATGAATGGTTTGCAGAACACGGAAGACCTATTGGCATGCGAAGTGTTTACCGACGAATGAGAAGTTTTGGCTTGTTTTCATACCGGCCACACTGGGTCCTCCCTTTAACTCGAGAACACCGACGTAATCGCCTTGAGTGGTGCAGACAACGGTCACTCTGGGATCAGGAATGGAACAGTATTGTCTTTAGTGATGAGTCTCGATTTTGTTTAGGCATGCACGATGGTCGTGCCAGGGTTAGAAGGCGACGTGGTGAAAGGAGGAATCCACAGTTTTTTGTTGAAGGACATGTTCATCACACTGTTGAAGTTATGGTTTGGGGTGCTATAGCTTATGGTTCCAGGTCACCTTTAATCTTCATCAGAGGTAACATGAACGCGCAGCGTTATATCCACGAAGTTCTAGAACCCCATCTTTTACCCTATCTTGACACCCTGGCAGATCCAACTTTCCAACAAGATAATGCCCGACCACATGTTGCAAGAGTCACAATAGACGTCTTTCAACATAATGATGTCACATTGTTACCATGGCCACCAAGATCTCCCGACTTATCCCCAATTGAGCACGTGTGGGATATGATGGGTA